CTAAGACTCCTAAACGATGCATCAAAGCGAAAAATGTACTCCTTAATAAATTTGAGATCGTTAAATTTTTATGTTGAATGAGCAAATAAACTTTATAATTTGGTTGCGCGGTAAGGCACAAAACCGCGGTCCACCAACGGTGATTTTTACCAAATTTGTTTGAAACTGAGATAAATTACTATAAATGCCCCTGTAGCTTGGAAATGAGTTCCCTAAGAGGAAAAACAGATAGAATCTAAGTTGTAGATCATCAAATTTTGCGTCCACTGAGCACAAACTAATTTAATGTAGATCACTTACTCCGAGCAAAATCCGAGTGATTTACAATATCTTAACAGTCTGAGTGTCTATTTTACTGAGTTGTTTTTGTTTAGAGTCTGTTACATGCAGTATAAGCCTCTTTTCCACCTCTCAGCAGAGAAGGATTTCGGTAAACGATGTGTCGAAAGATGCAGAATTTTATGAAGGAAACACGAATCCCGATTCGAGATATATGGTTGGCCTACAATAAAAACGTCCGTACACAGTGGACTCAAAATTTGATAATTTGCAACATTGATTCTATGGGTTTTTCCTCTTAGAGAACTCAATTCCAAGTTGCAGGGCCATTTATAGTAATTTGTTTCAGTTTTTGACCAATTTGGTAAAAATCAGCTTTGGTTGACCAGGGTTTAATACCTTACCGCGCAACCAAACTGTAAAGTTTGCGTACTCGTTCGACAGAAAATTCAACGGTCTTTAATTTATTAAAGAGTGCATTTATCGCTTTGATGCATCGTTTATTTGTTAAAAAAAACAAAAAAAACAATCTGACTTTTATGGCTGTAAAAAGTTTTTCCTTGGTAGCCCGCGTTAGCAATTTTGCTATTTACGTGTCTAAATCTATATATGCTAGTAAAAATAAAAAAAAACTTTTCTCACATTTTTCGCAATGGATTCATCGTTTCGATACTCAAAATACTGGCCTAATATTCTTTAAATCAGCCGCCATTTTTGGAAGCAGCGGCTCTGTAACAGCAGACAAGGTTCTTTTTATTCAGAATAACATAAACTTTCGTAATTTACAATCAAACCTTTGTCTGCGATTAGATCGATTTTTGGGCTATGGCTCTAAGCAAATTTTCAGAATTTCATCCTGTTTGTAATGTGCTATTATTCAAAATTGTATTATGGCGTGAGTCCGAGTTAGAAAATCGAAAAGGGAATAAGTGTCAGAAACCAAATAATAACTACTGTTTTGTACTTTTGGACTAAAATAAATCAAAATTTAATTACCGTAGAGAATCCAGAAACCAATCTGTGGAAGCCTTTAAAAAAAAAGTATCCATAAAAATAAGAAATTATGTGTCTCTATTCATTTTTTTGTTGCACTCGATAGAGTTTCAACAAAATTAAGTACTGACTCTCGTTACAGAAGTTATATTAAAAAAATGTGTAGTTTTTGTTAAATATTTAGCCATAGATTTCCATCAAAAGTGTTCATCACATATATTACTTATCATAAACCAAATGCATTATTTTTAGAGTATGATGCAAATGACGATTATTCAGAACAAGTTTATTAGAGTAATTATAATTATTGTATATATTGTAATTTTTTTTTTGCTTTTTGAATATGGAACAACAAGTAGTTTATACAAAACTTATTAAAAAATAGCATTAATGTTATTACTTTGTGAATATCGAATAAAAACCAATTTATATTTCATATTATTAATCTGATCTTCTTTGGTATCTTTACTTCATCATGTGGTGTAAAGCACACATCGTAGTTTTTTCCTTTTTTTTTGTATTTGTTCATATTATTATTAACTACTGAGCGGTACATAACAGTTTTAAACTGCGATCTCATATTACTTTTATTTCTTATTTTACTTATCTATCCTAATAAATATATTTGAACGTTATTGGAACTTCTTATATACTATCTGAGGATAAATTCATTATTTTAATGTGTATATACTTTTTTTTATTGAATAGTAAATTATACAATCTGCCACATTGAAGGGCAATAAGTGTTAAGACTAAATGTGTTCATTCATACCATATATAGATATAATAGGGATATAAATAAAATAAAAATAAATAAGTTAAAATAAAAATATTAAAAAAATAAAATGCCATACATAACTTATACATAAGTGATATAAGAAATAAATCAATATGTAAAAATAAAGTAAATCTACTCAACACATCCATTCATATGTACTATATTTACAAACGCCCAGGGAACTCCGAGGCATTATTTGTCTTCCAAAAGTGAAAGGCAAATCAGGACTCCAGGAGATCCAAGTGCCACTCTTCCAGCCACCTAACTGGTAACCCAGTGGAGACTGGGAGAGGGCACTAGAGCCAAAGACGCTCAGGATTTCAATATTTAAAAAAAAATCATTATCTTTAGATTAATTAAGAATAAGATTTGAAATGTCGTGAAGTGAGTAATAATGTTGTAATAAAAAAAATGTACTTAAAAAAAAATAGCCCAGTGAAATAAAATGTAAAACTATTAACCAAAGATCGAGAGAAAAGAGTTATATTTCGAAAAAAAATCATAATAATTTTTTTTATATATCTCTGTATATATCGTGTTCTTTTTTTTTTTTTTTTTTTTTTTTTTTATTCCCTCCAATATTTTTTCTGATCAACATTAGTTATACTCGATTACTTTCTAACCAAAATACCGATAAACAGTACAGAGTGTCAGGTAAAAAATGGGAAATGCGAGCTGACATTAGACCTCAGTACAATAACAAATTATCCATACACTAAGGAAGAAAGTAAGATAAATAAATATCTACATTATATAGATGCAAATGAAAAAAATGGTCTAAATATAAGCAAAAAAGTATTCAATGTGGAATTTTTTTTTCGCCAATAGCGGTAGAACTGTTTTAGGGTAGAAATAGTACAACTAGAAATTTGGGAGATGTGTGGTTTCCAACAGAGGATTTCTTCAAAAATAACACTGAAGTTCTTAACGGATAATAATCTCCCTATTCTTAAACTAAATGCATTTAATATTACTTTTAACTATAAGTAAAAAAGAAATATTTAAAACAAGATGGTTTTATCGATGATGAGAACCACGAAGTAGTAAACAGTTTAATAATTTAAAGAATGATGATAAGTTAAACGTTTGAAGATAAACCTTCTAAAGATGAGCCTCCGATCAGGATTTCGAAAAAAATAAATATATGCTTTACATATTATATATAGCATATTTCTATACTAAATACTATATATTGTGAAAGTACATCATATATATATATATTAGTTTATAAAGTGTAGAATTTTCTTTATAAATTAAATGATTACCTTTACATTTAAGTGAGGATGGGTTAAATACATAGTGATAAATAAATTCTGACATGTATATATAGTTTTATAGATACATTATATATAAATTTATTTATTAACTTATATTTTATATATCAATGCGTTTCATCTTGGTTAATGTCGCTCAGATGTAGTTGATTTTCATTTATACTACATAGAATTTAGTTGTCTTTTAAACGAATAGCTATAGTTTTCCAGGAGTGTCATAGTTGTGAGTTATTCGAAAAATAATTTTTATTTTTATGTTTTTGAAATATATTTTTTTAAACTAGTTACAGTATATGTATTTTGTTTTTTAATCTAGCCTTATTCCACATCAAGAACACAAGAGAAATGTTTTATTCAAAATTTAAGCTTCTAAGGCACTAAATATTTGAGACTTATCATGAATAAGTGAGTGTGGAAGTGATATTCTGTTGACAGTTTCATAAATACTCACATTATTTATACATTTATCTATTTATATTGCATATATAATGTTATTATTATTATTAAATTAACTTATGAGTATTCTACCATAGTATGTAAAATATCAGTGTCAATTATAATTGAAATTTTGTGACTTTTTAATTCGTCGGTGACTCTGAAGAAGAACATTTCATATTGGGTATAATTATGATTATAAAATTCTACATTTCATCATTAATTTTTTTCACTTTTATCTCAGCTGTTTGTTAGTCTTTCGCCCCTTTTCAGGTTTATTACATAATCCGTTTTACGTTGCTATTTCAAATAAAAAATAATTTAGACAACTATTGAGAAATTTATGTTTCTGGTTGGAATATATTTCACATTTTATGGGCATGATTAAAATAAAATAATATTAAATCAAATAATTTTGTTATATTCCTATTTTCATAAACCCTCATTTGTTTATTCGAATATTAATGACAGTATTATATTTTGTTTTCTTGGTATAGTCAATAAAATTAATTAATTTGAATTAACTTTGATCTTATCTTGATCTCTAATCGCTAATAAAGTTAAATAAAATCCAACTTTTTATTTATATATATATATATATATATATATATTATATAAGTACTAACTTTTGATCTCTTTTTATATGATTTTTCATTATATTTAAAATTTGTTCATGAATAGTAACCAGAAAAACTTTAAAAATAAAGAATAAAGCAATAAGCACGTTAAATACAAAAAAAACAAAACAAAAACATATACATAACGGAATATGACATAAAGATAACAATGTATATTAATAGACGAATTAAAAAAAAAAAATGTTTATTTAGTATGGATTTATATAATATGCTTTGGCTTTTTGTAACCAAATATAGTTGGCTAAAACAGCTTATATTGTGTATTAAGCATTCATCTTTCTAAAAAATAGAATTTTTATTTATGAAAATTATTTTTTAAAAATATATATATATATATATACATATGTCATTAAAATTCAATTCTAAATATATAGTTACATTTTCTTTAAATCGCTGAAGAATTTCTTAAAATAATTGAAATCTCGTTTTTTGTACTTTATTTAATTATTTTGTAATAATTTTAAAATTCACAAGCTTAATAAACCAAAACGTATTACATTATTCATATACACAAATTTATATGGTATTAATATATAGTTCTAAAAAAATGATATTAAAATGTATAATAATAAAAAGTAAGAGAAAGGAATTATAAAAGAAATATATTATCACAAATAAACAATTTATTTTTCTTATAATCAGAATTTCACTTTTCATTCTTATGCATATATTAACAAATGTATATAAACTATCTGGCACTTATATTTGACATTTCTTTATTTAAAACTAATTATATAAATCTTATAATTAACTTTATATAATACATATTGCACTTAACTATATACAATTAAAATATTAACCCATGTCATAAAATTTATTTTATTTCAGAGCTGGGTGATTAAAGCTTTTCCGAATCTCATTTTAAATTATTTACAATAACAACTAATAACGATTGTATGTATTAAAAAACAAAAAAAAAAATAAAAATAAAACAAATCTATTCGTTTACTATTAAGAGAAGGAAGAGTTTTTTCGTAAGTAACTCTGCTTAACCTGAAAAAGAAATTCATTAATTGGATTATAAATCTGCTAAAAAAAAACTCTTTAGTAAAAAAAATACATATTATCCTTTGTCCAGTGTTATTAAATGTATATATATATATATATATTATATATTATAAAAATTTGAGCTTTAAATGTTAACTGGAATAATTGATTAAAATAAGATGATAAACATTCTGAGGTGAATACTCTAATCAGAACATAATATTAAATTACTCCAGATATTATTTATTATATTTACTTATTTATAAAAACATAATAATAATGATATCAATACATTCTTTTAAATAATTTAATTTATACGTGGAAGTGCCATCAGATTGCTATATTGGCTAAATAAAAACTAATAATTGGCTGTATTAATGTATTGTAGTATGCCTTTATTGTAGTTTTATTATAGTATAATCGTAACTATTTATTGTAAATAATTATTGTAATAAATACCATTCTGTTGAATAACTCCACTTATATTGTTTCTAATACCAGTCATTACAGGTAAGCATTTTGTAATATCTATCTTTTAATAAAGTTGTTAGATTTTTAATTGTATCTTTTCAGGTACCTATCTATATTCACAGAACTTCCTTCCGTGCACTTTAATCTTTTTTTCAGTTAGTAATTCTTTTGTTCTATCACATCTCCTTTCAAGCTAATACTATTTAATTATTAGTGTCAATTTAAATAATATGATTAGTTTAATTTAATTTCCTTAGAATGAAAAAAAAATATTCTGTAATTGTTGTTATTAAGACTTGTTTTCCGCAATAATGTATTGTTCATTTTTCATTTCAACAAAATAGTTGAATTCTAAACTGGTGACATCCCTGGATAATGCTTATAATAAAATTGCCTTAATGCTTCAGTTTTATATCAATTGTAGGTATATAAATTTTTACTTGATTTTTTCAATACAGGATTGAATGGTTTTTTATGATTTTATCTGCATTACGAAACAAAATTTTAGTAGTTTTCACCGGAGTTCGACAACCTGTACTTCTCCTTAAGATGGTCAGCGGCTAATCATCGTCCATTTAGTTGCCAGCTCGATGGAAATCACCTGCTGATTATGTCGACTCATTACTCCAGATAGTGGATCTCTCATCTACCAGAGGACCCTCGCAACAAGCGAATATAAACTAGAATTAAGATGAGATTTTTATCTGCCATCGTACAGCAGAGTTATCGACAAGGGTCCTATCGTCCCGTGTTCATCGTCTTCTGACCAGATATTTTGACGTTCATCCGGACAAATCGACACCCCTCCATCTGCACTAAACAGGATAGGATTAAGAATACGGCACGGGGATTTCTGATAAAGAAGATGGCCATTAAGAACAAAAATTGGTATTGGATTTATGTTAGAAGTAAGCTTTATTTTATATTTTCTTCTTTAATATTATATTTATGAACACTATTAGTACATTTATCTAGGATACTAGTGACTAACATATTAGTATTGTTATTTTGTCAGTTATAATAAATCTTTTCTTCTAATCTAGTGAAATTTTAGTAAATAATAAAAAAAACTCTTTTACACTCATTAATTACGTATAATTCTTTTTTTAAATTAACCTCAATACAAGGGTGACAAATATCAATAACACATTTCACCGTTTATACTATTATTAAAACTATCAACTTTATTTTAATACAATAATTTTTATTTCAATTCTTTGTCAAAATTCGGTATTTTAATATTCCATGCACACAATGAATAACATTTTATCGTAAGAACATAGATTTATATTATATTGAAATATTAACTTTTTCAATAATTTAATAATATTAATAATAATAATAATAATAATATTATAATAAAATGAAAGTTATGTGTTCTTAGACAATATTTAAACTGAAATTTACAACCCACTTCATGTTGGATTCCACATCATTTACTGAATTATTCTACTATTTAATAGATTGTTACCGAGTTGAAATAAGTTAGATATTAAGAACTGGAAAAGATTCTTAAGTTTTCCTTATCTCATATCTTTATCAAATGGCTCACCTGAAAACTAGTACTGTTCTTATGCAATAGCATCATGGCAGGTTTCGAAAAAAAATATGAGAAAGTGGCGCATTCCAAATTCGATAACGATATGGTAAATAACTTTTATATAAACGGTTCAATATAATATAAAAAAAAACTTACATTGTCGAAGAACTACGCATCTAATTTTATATTCACTTAGTCAACTGTCAACACTATTTTATTTGCGTTTTTATAAAATGATGAAGGTTGTTGATTGATATCAAGAAGATATTTTATTTTAAATAATAAAATAAATTGAGTTAGAATATATATATTTTTAAAATTTAAATACTGTCAGGTTAAACTTAAACAAAAAAAAAATTAAGGATGTACATAGCAATAAGACTACTTGCCTGCGAGCATTAAAGTCTCCTCCGGCGTTGAAGTCACCCATCAGTCTAGCTGAAATCTGCGGGAAAGGGATCATCCAACTCAAATGCAAAGTCCGTATAAGTATCTAGAGGCACAGATACTTCATCCAAGTCTGAGTACGGGAATGGGTCGAGGGTGAGTGGCGGTGTCAGCGATGTCTCAGTCAGAGAGTCGCTTAGGAGAGACTCTCCGTCCGACTCGGGTTCGCTGAGAAGTTGGGTTAGTGCGGAGATGTACCTCATAGCCAGCCTCAGCGTAGAAATCTTCGTCAGTTTTTCCGACTCTCGGGGCACGGGCACAGCCCGCCGAAGACTCTCGAAGGCTTCGTTGATCTCGCGCATCCTCGATCGCTCGCGAGCGTTTGCCGTTTTCCTTCGGTATTTGGAAAGTGGTGCTGGTTTTCCGCTCTTGGGACGCCTCTTCCTCCGAACCCACGAAACTTCTTCATCATCGTCATCGCTTCTCCGGACGCAGCCTCTGGGTCTGAGGCTGTAGCATTTTTCGCTAGTGTTATTGTTAGGGTCTGGCGGGATCTCGCACACGGAACTCATGGTCACTCACTCTCACAGGAAGCAGTCGAAATCCATGACGGTCCGTGAGTACAATAGATCGCGGAGACTTGGCCCCCAGAGCTGTGCAGAGCGGACTGACCAGACAGAAGGCCCGAAGTACACTGCTGGCCGGGGATGGGCACGCGCTGCTCCCCACTCCACCACCGCCCTTATAAGGCTCGCCCCCAAACATCCCGTTTTCACGGCAGGCCTTGCCCGTCTAACTGTAGTCCCCTCGTTTTTATTTCAACATTCTCTCTTACGTACTCTTTCAGCCTCACTTCAAAAAAGACAAATTAGCGCTCTTTCGTAACTGTTTCTCATATGTGCGCCTGCTTTATCCAGAAACTATTATCTCCTGTCTGTTCTTCATTAGAATCTTATCTACTAGAATCCTATTGGCTGCAGTGTTCGAAATTAAGAAAGCCCAAAGGAGACACAACAATTAGTGGAGCCCCGAGGGAGAAAGGGTTTTCGCACTGAAGCCCTCTCTCAAAATGGGGGAATATAATTTTCTTTATTAATTCAAATTTTTTCCCGAGTGATATGGGCTAAGTACTTAAATAATAAAAATAAGTGTCCGTTTTAAATCACAACACATGTATTTCAACTATAAAATGTAAGAATATGTCAAAAAAAAAATATGAGACATTTATTATTAAAAGCGTCTATTTTTTTTTTTAATTTCTTCTTTCTTTTTCAGGTCTTCACGGACCACTTAAATATTATTTTATATATAAATATATATATATTCATTTATGTCAGAATAATTACCGCTTTTTAAAAAAAATAAAATCAAACAAATATATTAATAATTTATCCTGAATACGTTAACTTCGAATATTGGATTGTATTATTTATTCGAAAAAAAATTTAAATATATTTTAAAAATAAAAAAAGGTTTCAATTGCATGAAATAAACGTTTATCGTAAAATTTGTAGTGAAAGAGTCATGTATCAGGCCCGTAGAAAATGGACATCTAAACCGGAACTTTAATACGAGTATTTCAAGAGTAATATCATTGCACAAAAATAAGCTAGTTGAAACATATATAACTAAACTTTTTTTGCCACTTAACTTTAACATTTAACACATTTTCTTATTATTAAAGGTTGAATTCACGAAGCTGTCTCAAAATCGAAGATATATAAAAACAATTCATTATCGAATAGTGACTGTTCAATCTTTTTAATCCGTATATTACGTTATCTCATTTAAACATTTTTTTTAAATATGATAGGATTAATAAAGTCGTATAATCTTAATTTTGAGAAACCAAACTTTTTATTATGGATAGGGGAGACTGGGTGCGGTTGTTACAATTTTCATTTAATCGTCCTCAATTTCGTTAGTATACCAAATAGGTTGAAGAAAGGTATTTTTATAGTGAAGTCTATACTTGACTACGTACAAATACTAAAACTTTGTCTGTAAGTGCAATGGTTATCTCATTGGAGCAAATTAGAAAAAAAAAAAAAATGCCACAACCAGTCACATCCTTAGGATGGTTGTGATAGTACTTGGGAACGGCATGACAGATTCAAAAACACATCAAAAAGGTCTAAAATCACTTTTGTTTTATTATATAACAAAATAAATAAAATTTGGGAACAATTTAATCCTTTATAACTACTAAGGCATCAACATTTATTTCTGTAAGAATCAATTTCCGATCTACCTTGAGCGTTTTCTGAGTATCTTTTTTTTTTTTTTAACATATTTATAGAGAGATATTACAATCTGTCACAAATAATGACATTTATGATAGTGTTCAGAGAGCACATTCACGCTCCATCAACAATAAATAAAAATAAATAATACAGAAAAAACAATAATACTAAAAGTAAATGTATACAAACTAAATTAAACAAAAAGAAACTAAACTAATAAAAATAACTACCCACATACACAGATACTTCTATACAATATCTATAAAAAATTTTTTTAAAAAATCATTCACTCAAGATCTCCGAGCCAAGCGTTTCTCCCTACTCGTGGAAAGGAAAATCTGGACTCTAGATGATCCCAGTGCCTTTAACTCAGCCACATTACTGGTATTAAGGACCAGTAGAGGCTGGTTAGAGGCGCTATAATCACACATACATGGAGTGTATAATCTGGACGATGCCAAAACTCCAATATTCACAAAAGGTCTCTGGGCCACTGCCGCTTCAATCTTCCAGGAGGATTGTAGAGATGTTTGGTGCTGGATAGGAATTGTTTCTGAGTTTCTAAAAAAAAAAAAATATTTGTGTCACAATTTTACCCAAAAAATATGTCACAAAATATGTGTATCCAACGCAATCCTTCTCAAAAAAACCAGTCGCCTCGACAGTATAAAATGATCTAAGTACAAAGTAATCACTACTAATTACTAACTAATATTTCACTTATATTGAGAAAAAAACATTCACTACTCTATCTGTCGATATATAACAATAATTATTCAAAGAAATAGATAAAAAATAGTTACTTTTGTCTGTTAAAAAGTAATGAAGGTCTCTAAAGGCGTTAATATCCCGCTATGCGTTATGAATACTTTTAAATACCTTAAGACAGGCATAACATCCCTTTCTTCCCTATAAACCTATCGGGTATTCCTTATAGTTCGCTAATATGACGACTGTCATACCCGTACCCTTTCATAACCGTACTCCGTCTCCTCTACATTTCTTGAGAACAACTTTGTACGAAGAATCAATGAAATATTGGCTTGATGTTTAGTTAAAGTTAATGACTTAGTAAAATTTTATTTTAATCACCTTAAAATAAAATATCTCATTATTCAAGCCAGTACAACGTTGGTATTGATAGAAAATTATTTTCTATATTAATGTGATATGATATACTTGTAGATTAGAAAAAAAGGTTTTAAAAAGCAACCAAAATCGTCTATGGCAGACAGCTATTGATTCATAACCACAAATGGACGTTTCTTACATAAATCGATTTTGTATCAAGAATTAATCATATTTAAATTCTCTGACGATCTAGCAATTAATATTATAAATTCGATTTGAAATATGGCCGAAGTCGACAGTCAAAACAAGAACATAACCAATTTTTGTAAACGTTTGATCTAAAGACAATTATATTTAATAATTTAGAATATTTTTTAAAAGAAATAGTGTGATATTTCTACTATATTGAGTGAATTATTTTAAACATACAGTTGTGAAATCATATAACTTAATAAGATAAAGTTTTTATTAATTTACTTTTGATAAGAGATTGAATTGTTTTTGTCGATTGGCATTTTTTTATGTATGTATGTATGCATTGTGAATAATGATGATTAAGCACTATCAAATTACTATATATTTTTTTTACACGAAAAGAACTTGGTTGTATCTAAAAGGAAGACGATGTTGAAAAACGCAAGCTTTTTGTTTTTTTTCTTCAAATAATATTTTTATTTATTTTTCACAAAATAATACTTTTTTTATTTAATTCATATTAGTTGTAAAATTTAGAAACTAAAAATTTTTACCCTTAAAACATTTTTCACCTTAAATTATTAACTTTATTTGCATCATAAGGTCGAACTCCACAGAATCCCACCCGTACGATGAATAGTTTCTGAAGGCATTCTTTTTTATTTTATGAAGAAATGTTTTTAGTCTTTTATTGTAAATGAATTGTCATTAAAAACAAAAAATATTCCACTTGTCTTTTCTTCTCATTTGATAGCAGCGTAGAGAGATTCGTACTTGAGTTAACCAAATTTTTTTATTTCATTTTTTTATTTTATTGAGTATTTATAAAGTTTGCCACACTGAACGGCATTGGTACTAGGGTTATAGTATTCATTCACACAATATGTACATAAGAAAGGAAAATAAATAACAACAACCAAGCAAGAAAAAAAAAGAAAACAAATATAAAAGTAATACACAAGATAAGTAAAATAACAGATTAAAGCCAAATGATAATAAAATAATTAAAACACATTCACACCTATGTATAATAAATTAACTAAATTAAAGTTTGTATATTGTTCCTGACACTAGCGGATCCAGGATTTCAATTTTTTTTTTTTTTTTTTGGAGGGGGGAGATAATTAATTTGAAAAAAAAAAGAAGAAAGAAATGAACTAATGAAGTGATTCTTGAAGTCCTATTAAATGTAATTACACGAACAATAATACTTTAAGAGATAGTTTTTAATATTTTTTTCCATAAAACATGGTTATATTTTACCGTTTTGGGGAGGGCTTCAGCCCGAAAGCGCCCCCTCCCCCGTAAATCCGCCTGTGGTTCCTGAGTTAAAATATATACTTACCAGTTGTTTTTTTAATTTGGTAGGTTTTCTTCCAGTTGGTAAATCCATGATAGATGTATGTCATATCTTGGTTGAAAATTAATCTGTTATTAATAATTTTCTCACAATACTGTCGTAATCCATTCTAAAGTAATAAATTATAAAATTGGTAAATATATAAATATATAATAAAATGATACCTATATAAATGGATCAAACTAGTGTCACACATTTTTTTATTTGAAAATAAATTTCATAACCTACTTGTTCGACTTCCTTTACGTTTTTATGTAAGAGTGTGTTTGTAATTTTCAAATAATAAACCTTATTCTTTTGTAGGCATTGAAAAGAAAAGAATAAGGTTTATAGATTCCTATGGGTCTATGCGTGCTTACAAATAAAAACCTATAACTCTTTATTTTTCACACAAATATATATATATATATATATATATATATATATATATATATATATATATATATATATATATATATATATATATATATATATATATATAACTTGGAATGGAAGAACAGAATGTGAAAAATGCTTTAAGCGGTGCAGAATTTCCGGACTGATTTCCCCTTCTGACTCACCCGTCCTCTAATTTCTGCCTTCTATGGCAACAAGTAAATTATGCGTACAGTGAACCAGTCTCAGAAGTATGTAAGTGTAAATATATTGCTAAAATTACAAGCAAATTATAATTTATATCTTATTTATCTATGTATGTGTTTTATTTTATCCATATCATAATTTGAATGAGGGAGGTCGTTCGAACTTAAAATTGAACCTGCTTGAAATAGTAATTATATTTTAATTCATTTATGCTTAGTTGTATTATTAGTGCATGA